TTTTTTTTTTTTTTTTTTTTTTTTTTTTTTTTTTTGATTACTGCATGGTAAATGCATTTCTTTTAGATAACTGTCTCTGGTTTCCATGGGGATCTTTCTTCTGCTTGTTAAAGCTATTTTAAGAATCTTTCACATTATTTGAAGTATTGCTAAGAGCTAGTACTTCAGAACTATTTCAGCTGTTGATCAACACTTTGCATCTGGCAGTGAAATTCAAGTAGGATATAGTGCGGAAGAGAAGCAGAAATATTTTTTGGTGCTTTGAATCAGAATAATGCAGTCTGATAACGTTTTCTGGTCAGAAAGGACTTCTGGGCAGCATGTTGTGGTGAAGTGTTGTATTTACTTTCTCAGTGTACTTCTGTGCAACTTAATGTACTGTTTGGCTGCTTATCTATGATATTTCTCAATTAAACTTGGGGATACCTGGAAACAATCATCTTTTCAATCTGAATACAGTAGAATTGGTATATAGTACATGGAGATTTTATTGAATGTTGATAGTTATGATAATAACAGGATAAAACAAACTCAGCTTGACTTTGTTAGGCTTTTAATGTGTTTGTTTCTAATGTGAAAAAAGCTGCTTCTCATGCAGTGGTTACCTTTATTATTTCATGTTTCTCTTTTTTACTTTAAGAAATGGTCAAAGGCACAGACAAGCTCCTTATGAGGAGCAGCTGAGGTCACTTGTTTTGTTCAGCTTGGAAGAGAGAAGGTGCTGATTTCTTTCTGGTGACTGGCAATAGGACACAAGACAATTGAAGGAAGCTGCATCAGAGGAAGCTTGGATGGGGCATTAGGAAGAGGTTCTTTACTGAGAGGTTGATTGGTCACTGGAACAGGCTCCCAGGGAAGTAGTCACAGCACCAAGCCTGCCAGAGTTCAGGGAGTGTCTGGATGATGCTCTTAGTCATATGGCTTAGTTGTGGGCAGTCCTGCAAGGAGAAGGGAGTTGGAATCAATGATCCAGATTGGGTCCCTTGCAATTTAAGATATTCTAAGCTGGATGTGTACATCCTGCTCACTCAGTCTGTATACTGAGAAGGTTGTCAGCTAGCACCAGGTGCTGTAAGGGTTTTATGTAGACACAGCTCATTCTCGGAGAAAACCAAAGATGTGCTTTTCCTTTTTCAATTAAAACCACTTCATCTTTCTGTGTTAGTGGTGGAACTTTGTGCAACCAGTATGGGATATGCCTTGTTGCATGTGATTGTTTGTAAGTGACGCTCATGTCCCTGACAGTATTGACTTACAGGAAGTTGCAAGATGCTGCATTTTCCAGCTGCTTGTTCACTCCAGCTTTCCCTGGATGCCTCCCAGATACCCAGACTGTTCCAGTACAATCCCATTTGGAAGTTCAAATCCAAGGTTATGTAGCTCTAGAGCAGTTATGTAGCAAAAACACTTCAGAAACTAAGCCATGGTAGAAAATGACAGCTTTGCCCACTGTGATGATGTGCAACAACCTAGTACAGTTGTAACCTATGGAGAATAGGACTAGTGTCTTTCATGGGTTCATCAGTGAGTGACTAACACATACAGAGTGGAAGAGAGCCTCTAGACATTGTGAAAAGATTAAGAACACAACTGGCTTCTTGAATTGCCTTATTGTCTGGAACATGGTTATCCTCTTCCATGGAAAGGAGTTGCTGGGGAGAACTGGAAAACAATGAAATAGGAAATGTTTGCAGTTTTGTTCTGAAGCTTCTTATATTTAATGTTGTGCAAAGTTTCTGGTGTAATTTTTCTTCTGAGTGGGTGGCTTTGGGATGCATGAAGGGAAATACTTGATTTGAAGGCATCAGCAGGAAGATCTACCAGTCTATACTGAAGCTGATCTGGTGGTTCATTTGAGCAGCTTATTAGTATATAAGTTACTCATAGCTGCAAGTGAAAAAAGAATGTTTCCCTGAGGGGTATTTACTGACTAATTTTCTAGTGCCCCAAGTGGACACTTCTGTCTGCTTATCCTGTTTTTCCCTTTCAGGCTCTGACTTTATTTTGTCTGTCTAAAGAGTGCTTCCTTATCTTAGAACCATTGTTTCTTTTTTACACCTCATTCTTTCCATTTCCATTTAGGATCAGTCAGAAACAGAGCTAATTTCATTTCCTTGTGACTCTCTGATGTATAAATGTGAATATGACATAAACTGTAAAAGTAATTCAACAGCTGAGAATATAGAGTTTTGAATGAAGTTCCTCTGCAGGACCCAGAAGAATAGCTCAGTAGTTCTCTAGAGGGTTCTGCAGTATTAATGAAAATGCCCCTGATTTCTTTTGTTTTTCCATTCTTCATTTATATTCATGCTAATGGAAGGGAATCTTGCCTGGGAAGTAAGATTATAATATCAATGCAATTGAAACTAGATGAAAGATTCATAAAAAAAAAAACAACAAAACAAAGCACAGCAAAAAGCCCAGCTTCCCCTTTCTCCAGGACATTGTAAGAATATATTATTACTATGTGAGAAGTGCTTCTATAATAGCTGGAGAGTTAGAGATATTTTTGAAAGTAAGTGGTTTAATTGACTGAATATCTCCTAGCAACTTAGAAAGCTTTACATACAAGTGATTGAATATTGCCTGTGAAATATATTGTCAAGCCCAAAGCACCTGCCAAAACCAGGTGATGATTCCTTTCTTTAAATCACATCAGATAGTAAAGATTTAACTCAATATTTTGTTATCACACAAAAGGAATTAGCATAAGACATGACACAATATATAGAAAATTGAATCCCAAATTACATTCAAGTATTGCAGACCAAAATAGTAGGTCTGCGAGGTAGATTTTTAAAGTTAATATTGCATGCTTCTACTGAAACAGAGTGCTGTTTTATCAAGAAGCTGAGCTAGACTTTCTCCTAGTTTGTGGTACTTGCCACTTGGTATACCCATTGGCCATGCAAACAAGAGTACGATCTTGCTGGCATTTTATGTGGGCAGCAATGGGGAAACTATACTCAGCAAGTAAAAGCTTGGGGTTTTGTACTGGTTAGAGGAAAAGTCAAGGCAAAGAATGAGTGTCAAGAGAGAAGTGTGTGGGACTGCAACTGCTTTTTCATATGAGCAGCTTAAGATGCTGTTTTGTCTCATTGTGTCTGTTAGTAGGTAATGTACTAAAAGACTTACAAATCTGCCACATAAATCCATTACACCCAAAAGAGCTTTTTCTAAGTGTCAATAATATATAGTATCAACAATATACGGTTGTTGGTATGGTCTGCAGTAAGAACACTTTAACTTTCCTTGGAGGTGGGAAGCTAAATTTTACTTTGTGTGCTGTCCGGCTGCAGCAGAATAAATGGAGTTGTCTTGTCAAGCAGTATTTGTATTCTCGTAGCAATGCACCAACTGTACTGCACAATATGTTGTTGGGATAAAGAAAATAAAGGAGAAAAATAGTGTCTGTGGAGCCAGGGTTGGAAAGGTGGGACCAGGTTGCGTCATGCAGAGTATGTGTGCCTCACTCAGCTGTGCTAGTGGAGATCCGCCTGCCTCCATAGATCAGGGGGTGGGAGCACCTGATCTAGACAAGATGAGAAAGTTTGGGTTGTTCAGCCTGGAGAAGAAAAGGCACCACAGAGACCTCATGGCAGCCTTCCAGTACCTAAAGGGGACTGGAGAGAGAGAGCTGGATAGGGACTTTGTACAAGGACATTTAGTGGTATGACACAAGGGAAAGGCTTCAAACTGAAAGAGGATATGTTTAGATTAGATATTAGGAAGAAATTGTTTACTGAGAGGTGGTGAGGCACTGGAACAGGTTGCCCACAGACATTGTGATGCCCATCCCTGGAAGTGTTCAGAATGAAGTTGGATGGGGCTTGGAGCAGCCTTGTCTAGTGGAAGGTGTCCCTGTTCATGGCAGGGGGCTAGGAGCTAGATGGTATTTTGAGGTCACTTCCAACCAAAACCATTCTATGATTCTATGATCTCGCTAAAGACAGGTTTTTAAAGAAGGGAGAAAATCCCATGAGTTTTCTGGTATCTCGATATGCATTAGAAAGGGCCCAGAGCCACATGCAGTAAGAACGGATCACTTCATTTATTCTTGTGATCTTGCTGTGTGAGGTAGAATCATAGGTAAATTTGTGATGGAGAATTTGTTTCTGTCATGAGATATTTCTTTATGAGATCAGAGTGGAATAAGATGCAATGATAAGGGGAAAATACTGTCATAAATAATGCTGCCTTTTTTCTGTACTTCTGCCATCCATTCACTCTATTTGAAATGAATGTGTAGGGCTTAAATATTCTAAACAGCAGGTTGCATTTCGTGTATATGTCTGTGAAGTTATGTGCATCAAGTCCTTTTTTTTCTGTTCTGCCCATCCCATGTGTTTAGTTACATGTTATTATGCACATATAGCATCTCTTGGGTGAGAGGGAAGGCAAATTTCATCTGGATGTGGCTTCACACGGGCCTGTCTGTGCCGTTGAAGTAGTTAGTGGAAAGAAAAGCAAGCCACTGTGATCCACTTACACATAGAGACAAATGGATTAAAACTACACATTTATATTTATATTTTAATTATATTTATATTTACTTACAGTGCATTTTTATCTTTAAAAAGGAGTTGTGCACTAATTATTCAAATATGAGCACTTTAGCCAATTCCTGTATTTGAATACTCAGAGTGGATCATTTAATATGAGAAGCAACATAACCTTTTTAAAAAATACAGTTTCTATATTTTGCGTAGGTATTTGCCTCTTAAATTCCATAATTCATCTGTTAGCAGAAGCTGTGAGGAGATAGCTGGGGAATAATTGTTTTCAGTCTTCTGGTTTATAAAGCCAATAGTCATTACAGACTTCCTAGTTTGAGCAGTGTGATGATTCAATCAGTGATTCCTGACAAATGCAAGAAAAGTATTTTTATTTGCACTACTAGGGAACATTCAAATCTGCTAAGATTATTGTTGTTGGGGTTTTGGGGGTAGTTATTTGTCGGTTTGTCTTCCTTTGTTTAAGCTTCCTGTCTCTGCTCACAGGTAATACCATGGTGCTGTGGTCAACTTGCAGAACATCGCTACTTAAATCTGTTACAAGCCGATTCATTAAGAATTTGGCCTGCTCGGGGATCTGTGCCAGCCTGGTCTGTGTGCCTTTTGACATTGCTCTTAGTGCCAGTCCACACTGCTGCTGGTGGATCTATACGATGCTCTTCTGCAGAATTGCCAAGTTTCTGCACAAAGTCTTCTGCTCAGTGACCATCCTTAGTTTTCCAGCCATTGCTCTTGACAGGTAAGGGAGCAAATTTGCCATGGTCCTGCATTTTCCTTTCTTCTTTCTCCCTTTGAAATAATTTTCTCCCTTTCATATTGTCTTGCTTTTGTTCTGGTGCTCTGTTTGCAGTGTACAGTTTCTTTCTAGAATGTTTTGGGAGAAATATTTTTGTAACAGTGAAAATCTTTAGTTTTCAGTTTACTCAGGTGTCTCTGGACATTTATAAAGGACTTTGAGACTACACATTTGTCTTCAGAGAATTTTTTATATTTTCTTCCTGTTAATAATTCTTGGTTAGTAATGAACTTAAAAGCAGTCAACTTCAGACTGTAGACGAGGTGCACATTTTTAACTGTAGAAATTGAAAGCCCTTGCCTGTTAAAAGGATTTACCAGTGCCTGGAGGTAGATTGTCCATCAATGTCAAATTTCAAATGTTGATTTGTTTAAAAAAAAACCCCCACAAACAAAATGAATAAAACCCGAATTAGTTCAGAGAATTTTTGTATGTAGATCAGTCTAAACCAAAAGTGGCCCTTTGGACTCGCTAAGTTTTTCAGTTCCGTTCATTTTGCAAATTATTATCAGCCACTGATCCCACCTAAATGAACAGCTCTATCAGCTTGACAGTGACTGCAAGTTAGATATTTCTAAGGAATGGTAGATACTGGTTTAATACAGGACACGCTACTAAAACAGTAGACTTACACATGTTAGATAAAATTATTGTTAGTCTGTTATTACATCTCACCACAGAATATGTTAGCTCTACAAAACCAAACTGTATACCTAATAAAGTGATATGTCTCAAATGTTAATGTCTTGATAAATGCAGTATCACTATCTATAACACACCCCAGTGTTGCCAGTGGAACAGCATATCATTTGCCCTTCACCAAGAAAATTTGTGATCTTCCTCACAAAAAGCACAAATTCCTACCACTTATAATAAGTGTGAAAAAATTAGGTCTGTCATGAAAACTCTGTGAGCTTAAAAATCCACAGCAGTAGTCCAGTAGTAAGCAAACAGTGAATCAATGTCTGAAATTTGAAGTGCATGTCAGAGATGCACTTTTTTTAAAATGCACACAGAATGTTCAGTGTTCAGCAGTTCTTGCTCAGGGCCTTGCTGACCACAGCTTGTGCAAAACAAAACACCATTGTACTTCCAATAGATGGATACATGGAATTTGTCACCAACAGCTTTTTCCAAATATTAAAAAAAAAAAAAAATCTATCATAAAGCAGCTTTTAAAATTAACTATGAGTCTGACCGTTCAGTGTGACATATCTGTGTCCCCATCATGTTTTTTGAAATTTTGAGTTGTGTGCAGTGTACTGTTCTAGTTTACAAGTAAATGATGACATCTTCAAAATAATGTTCATATGCATCAGCTAAAGTGATATAGTCTCAGTTACTGAAAGAATTGTTTACCACCGATAATGTGATCCTGAAGTTTCAATATTCATTTTTTTTCTACAGACAGACCTGCAAAGGCAGACCCTTGGTTTCAGGTTTTTTTCCCTCTCATAAGCGGGTACTCAGTTGATAACCTAGTTAGGGATTTGGGACGTTATGCTCAGACAGCTCCTGTGAGAGGTTTTTCATATGGACTGTGCTCGTTATAGACTCCACCCTTTGCATTGTATCAATTATAATTTTATTTCTGTTTTGACAGATACTACTCTGTTTTATACCCTCTGGAAAGAAAAATAACTGATGCAAAATCCCGAGACCTGGTTATCTACATCTGGGCCCATGCAATAGTGGCCAGCATTCCAGTATTTGTTATGACCAACGTGTTTGACATTTATGCCATGTCCACCTGTTCTGAATCTTGGAGTTACTCCCTTGGCCACCTGATATATGTCATCATCTATAACATCACCACTGTGATTGTACCAGTGGCTGTGGTATTTCTCTTTATGATTCTTATTCGCAGAGCACTGAGTGCCAGCCAGAAGAAAAAAGTCATCATAGCTGCATTAAGGACTCCTCAGAATACAGTTTCTATCCCATATGCCTCCCAGCGAGAAGCTGAGCTTCATGTCATGCTGCTTTCTATGGTTATGATCTTCATTTTCTGCAGTGTCCCATATGTGACTTTGGTGATTTACCGCACCATACTCAATATTTCAGATATTTCAGTCTTCTTGCTCCTCACTGCCATTTGGTTGCCCAAGGTCTCTTTGCTGGCCAACCCTTTGTTATTTTTAACTGTTAACAAATCAGTACGGAAGTGCTTAGTGGGGACAATAGTACAGCTGCACCGAAGGTTTAGCAGAAGAAACATTGTCAGCTCAGGTGGTGTTGCAGATGATAATCTGGAGCCCAATGTCCATTCGGGAAGCCAGCTTCTGGAGATGTTTCATATTGGGCAACAACAAATCTTCAAGCCAATGGAAGATGAGGAGAATGAGACTAAATCCACTGTCTCTGGTGACTTGCAACAGAAAGAAATTCCTACCACCAGTTTGGAGATAGGACAGACTTTGGTTCACAGATTTGTACCACAGACAGTTGCAGACTCTGCAGCTCAGGTGGCCCCAGCTGTGCCCACAGAAGCTGATTCGGTAAATGACAAGTATTCCATGCAGTTTGGTTTTGGACCCTTTGAGCTGCCTCCACAGTGGCTCTCAGAAAACCGAAACAGTAAGAAGCGACTCCTGCCTCCTCTGGGGAATACCCCTGAAGAGCTAATCCAGACAAAACAGCCCAAGTGTAAAGCAGAAAGAAAAGTCAGCAGAAACAATAAAGTCAGTATCTTTCCTAAGGTGGATTCTTAGTAAGAGCAGGAGTTTGCAGTGGCAGAGGAAGGTCACTTTCTATTATATCTGTGATCCCATGGATCTTTATTACGTTGAAATTTGTTTCAGGCTGATTTTTTCTTGTGCCAAATATAATTTAAATGAACAAACAAGGAAAACGTATATACAAGTGTTCCTTATTAATGTGAAATGTCATAAAAATAATATATCAGATATGGAAAGTCTTAAAATTTTATCTCTGAAATCCTTATGATGATACCTGTCTGATTAAATTTCAAAAAGAATATATGGCTTTGGGAACTCTGTATGGCTGAATTATGGAAATACGTTAGTCAATTTTCTGGGAAACCTCATGTTGTATTAAAATGGACTGGGTATCAAAGTAACTTAATAGGAAAGGCTGTAGAGAGCAGAAGACATACAACATGGGTAAATCCTACTCTAGTGCAAATAGACACAGCAAGATTTTGCATATTTCATTAATGAAGTCAAATGGACTATTAAGTGCATTTGTTTTCTGTTAAGCCTATTTATTCAATCAGTGTTAAAACTCTCTGGATTTTTTGCACAAATTAGTTACTAAGCATCTGCCAAACATCTAAAGTTTTTAAAAACCTGAACCGCTGCTTTCTGGCATAAAACTTCCACAAAGCCAAGGATAACCAAATTACCGTGTGTGTATATTCTTGTAGTTTTAAATAAGAACTGGATTGGAGATGATGCAGGACAAATCCTGACTCCAATAAACAAGTATGTATGTGCCAAAGGCATAAAGAGAACACATTGATCCTGTAATAAAGGGCATATACAAATGTCCCAACAGTGTAATGTATGCATTGTGTAAGTAACATAGGCTCAAACTTTAAACTTACCTGCTGGTGCACTCTGCTGTTTTCTTACAGGAAACCTAGGAAATGAAAGAAATGTGTTTGAAATGCTAGTAGCCTTTCTCTGAGTGTGACAATCTTAGTTTTGGAGTCTATCTCACAGAGAGACTCACACAGATAGACACTGAGTGTCTCAGTGACAACTAAACTGATGAGTGAAGAAGCTGGTAACAGACCTCTAAAGGCAAAGGTTTATTAATGCAGTTTCTCACAACTGACAGAGGTAGAGAGGTTTTTCTTCTACCTTCACAGGTACAGACACCAACTATCCTGCTCCACTCATCTCACGGAGTAGACTGTTCAGTGTATGACCATGAGGCTTTCAAATCTGGTGCCTGATTTCTGAGTGAGCCACAGTCATGCCATCAGCACACCAGCCTTTCTGTGAGAACTCAGTCGTTGTGCTGCAGCTTGCCCCTCTGCATAACCACAGGCATATTGTCTTGTTTATACTGAATGTGAACTTTAGATTATATCTGTCTGTTAGGTGACCTAAAACTATTGTAACCCTGACATTTTAACCCTTGTTCAGTTGCAAGTAGTTTTTCATCTGCATTCACTGTTGTCTCTGTGGGTAGTTTCTTAAAAGCACAGTCTTATAACATCTGTTTATTTCTTGTGGTTTTCCTGTACTTTTGCCCTTTGCTGCATGCTGAACTGTCTTCTGTGGTTACTGTCCGTTTATAAAAGTAGTTTTCTTTAAAGCATACTTTTAACAGGACAAGGTGAAGAATCTTGACAAGTTCACGGTAACTTACTAAATCCAACCAGGTAATCTTCAAAGTGACAGAAGATTCTGCTGAAGCAGAATTTGGAGGTGTACCATTCCTTCCTTTGACATATTTGAAGAAAGTCACCAGCTTCTGATGATTCCAAGGTGGTGGATTTCTACAAGGCATTAAAAGCAAATGTTTTAATAAAAATATATTTAAAGAAAAGTATGTATATGTAAAATAAGTTTTTCTCCATTTCTTCTTTTGTTTCAGTGCACTTCACTTCTTGCTAGTTCAAGAGCTTCTCAGCTTGGGAGTAAGGAGCAGTCTTCAAGGGGTCCACATGGGTGGTGGGAACCTCAGCTGCTCTTCTTAGATGTGAGACGGTATATATAGCTTGCCTGAAATCAGACAGAAGAAAGATCCCAGAAAAAAGTGGTCCTTCTGTGGCAGAGGTGGAAAAGTACCACAGCATGTATTTTTTTTAAGTGTCAGTAAAAGGTTATTTAATGCAGTGTTTGTTTTCCAAAGTTAGTACAATAACAGATGCTTTTGAGAAAATCCTGGAAACCTAAAAAACAAACTAGGAGTTACAGTTTCCATATGAATTTTGGTTAGATTTACCATTCACATTAAACTTACATCCCACTTACATACAGAAACTGCTCAAAATCTCTATGGTTAATGAATTTGGATAAATATGTACTCAGATCTGAACTCCTTTGAGGAAACCAAACTTAGTTTTGTCCTTTTCAATTTTCATGCTGAATGAAATGCCAGTGATAAATTTAAAGAGTCAAATGACTTATAATTGAGTGTTATCATATCTGGAAAGCGAAGTGTTTGTGATGGTTTTTTGACTGCTGAGACAAAAGGGGATTTATCCTTCAAAGAGGATGCATGTGAAAACTTGTATTTCTTTTAGAAGATTGTATCTGAAGACTTTGAAATCTTTCATCAACAAATTAACTATGATGGTTTTCCATACCTGAAGAATTAATCAAGAGTGATTTATTGTAAATCTTCTTTCAGTAGTTTACCCATGTGAATGTTTAGCAGAAGTGGGAAAAATATGCAAAAGCACATCTTTTCATAGAAAGAATAATCTGTGTAAAATTCACAATACAGCCTCTGTCCTAGAATTGTCATCAGAAAACAGTAATTTAGGAAACTCTTTATGCAAGGTAAAATGTTTGACTTGTAGAGTTTCATTTTTAATTATGTTTAAGATAGTATTAAGTTTAAGTCATTACTGCTGTCTCTTGGGTTGTTCAATTGATTTCAACTAGGCAAAATGTTCTACAATATCAATGTTTTTAAAATCACGTTGAAGATAAGTAAAAGTGAGGTTTGGGTTTTTTTGGATTGGTTGGTTTGTTTGTTTGTTTGATTGAGAGTTTTGGGTGTTTTTGTAATGATGGTTGGTTTTGACTGCCACGGTGTTGGTAAGATAAATATTTATTTCTAGACTATTGAAGATAAGATGACCCAGGCTCTGAGCTCCCCAAAGGGATTTTACTTTAAAAATATCCAAGACTCCAAAAATTTGCCTGCTAAATTTATTAGAAGAGCCTTCAGTTCTTTTAAAACCTGAAGAGAGTGCAATGGAGAGATGCTGCACGTGTTTTCTCAGGAAGTACTTTAACTGTTAAACTTTAGAAAATAAGGGAACTTGGCAAAAGTGTAAAAGGTAACATTCAACCAAAATACAGCGTTCCACAAAGCATTGACTTAGCACATGCTAACCCATACAGTTTAGCAAAATCCAAGCCATCTGATCCTATGGTACCCAAAATACCAAGAAAAGAGAAGTCAAGAAAGAATTACAGCTACCACCCCTAGATCCAGTGTAGATCCAGCTACAGGAGTCCAGAAGATGGAGGGTTCGAACAGCATGGAGAGCACATATTGCTGGTTTTATTTGCTTTGGCCCCCTGTGGCCACAGTCCCCCCACCCCTGGCCCAGCGGCCACTCCGTGGCCCCAAGGTGGGAAGAGCGGCAGTGTTCCTTCCCAGTGTGCCAGCCATTCCGAGGCTGGGTTACTGGCTCCAGGGAGTGTGGTGTGAGCAGTGCTCCCAGGCTGCTTTTGACTGACAGCTGCCCCAGGATTGCCCAAGGAGACTCCAAGGGGCTGGGGTATGGGACACCTTTGAGAAATTTGACCTGTCCTGCTCCCCCCACCACTTGAGTTGGTCCGAGCCAATAAGTAATATCCAGTGTCTCACAAGAACAAAAGTGAACTACAAAGCAAAGATGTGGGAATTTATGAAGAGAAAGCCTGGCGTAATTTGGCCTGTGCAAATAGATTTAAAGGCTAAATCTTACTACATGAGAATAAACATGGAGAAAATAAAGTTGAAACTCATTATTCTACCACTTAAGGGAGGAAAATGAAGTGGATATTAAACAAAAGAAGTAATTGTTTGAAAAGGATGGAAGGAGTATGGGGATAAGGTCAATTTATTGTTCTGCGACGTCCTCAAGAAATACTGTTAAAATTCAAACATCATGTAAAAATAATATAAAAAACCTCAGACCCAACAAAAACCCAACACAGTTCTTCAGTGCTAAATAATGCTATGTTGGTTAAATACTTGAGAACAATTTATTTTGCACAATGGGAAAAACTTCCACAGAAAAGCAGTCTTTTAGAACCTCTCCAAGTATTCTACTGTAGAACAGATCTAATTGTTACTAAATTGTAATAATTTAATGAACGCAGTTGTTCTGGTTTTAAAAATACACCTATAGATAATGTTTTCCAGAAAAAGATGGCTGTATTTCTGTAATGAGTTTTCTTCTATTCTGCTCCCTGTTTTCTGGAATAATATTACTCTATCAGTGGACCAGAAGTTGAATACCAAAGAGGAAAGTCAAGATGTTTTTCCAGATCAGGTGACGTGGACTTAGAAGCTGGTTCCAACTAAACAGGATCTGTCCTTTAAGTTGTTGTGACAATAACCAACTCTGGACATGATTATATGCCCCTCAGAACTCAGGTTGTTCCTCTTGTTCATGTCACCTGACCTTGCACTGCATAAAGAATGTCAACATTAAAAAAGCAATGTCCTTGCCTTCTAATCTTACTTGATACAAGTTACTGTGTAAATGTGCTTTAACCTACATAGAAGTCGGTATGACATAATAAATGGGTTTATTTTTTTTGGCCTTGAAGGACTCAGCCTCCCCCCTCCAAAAGATTTGGCTGAAGTCCTGGCTTCAGACTTAAAACTTTCTTACCTTTTCAAAAGATGACTCTTTCTTATTTTAGTTGGAGCAACTTTCTTTGTGCAAAACAGGGATATTAGCAGGATTTCTAAACTAGTCATAACGATGTTTTTAACTATCAAACTGGGGCCACAAGGTTAGTTACCGCAATTTTGAGTAATTTGTAATTCAAAGGCAGTTTAGAAAAATAACAAAACACGACACATCTTGTGGAAAGCTGCAGAACTCCAGATGCAGATGCTTGCACTCATGAGCAGGTTGATTCCTCCCCTCCCCTGTGTCCCTGGAGGACACAGAAGTGGAACAGCAGGAACTGGTCCAAAATAGTCTTTGCTCCACATCTGTTTTAAGTCTGCTAAACTAAACAAAGGTGGTGAGGGGTACACAGAGGCTGATTTTTCTGTATGATTTCTTCAGAGATAATATAGGAGTGGGATGCAGAAGCATTCTTCATCTCTGTGAAAAGCCCTCTGCAAGCACATAGCAGAGTTCTGCAGTTTCTGTTGTTCTTCCCTGTGAGAAGAAAGTTCTATTGTTTATTCTCTGTGAGAAAATGGACTATTTTTTTAAAGCAAGCTTAAGAAATATCAAGTGAGACCCAGTTCCTGAATATACATTTGTTAATGCAAACCAGGGTTTCTTTAACAGCTGTTTGTCATCCCGAGGTTCCCTATGGCTAAGTATAATGCACTGAGATGATGATTTACTCCAGAAACTCCTTTGTGCACACTACTTGACTAAGCATTATAGCTTCTTTGCCTCCATTTTCTGTAAAACTAAACCCTCCACTTTTTTGCCTGGATCACATCCTAAGCCGCAGAAGAAGGTCCTTGCAGGATCGCATTGTTTGGGTTCCCTTGCACCTGTCTGGTAGCAAACTCCCAACACACTGCACACTGTGGCTCTGAGACATTTCAGCACAACACAATCCATCTTGAGCTCCTGCTTCCTATGCTCTGCTGTTGACCTGCAGCAGAAGGTGTGGCAACATGAAAGAGCTTTGTCAAGGCAGGAACTTTCCCAGTACAAGTCAAAGAATGAAAACCTGGCTTTATTAAACAAAAGGGAAGTTTCACCACTGACTCTGGACTTTGCATTTTAGTTTGGCCTGTCTTTGTCCGCTGACAGGTGACAGTGCTGTATCACTATAGCTGATGGGGCACTCTGCAGAACTCTACTCATCTTCACTAAGGGTTTCTGGAAAAGTTGGAATATGACCAAAATTTCTGGCTCTTTGCCCTTGACTTGGCACATGCCAGTCAAAAGACATTAATACATAATCTATTTGTCCTTTGCAGGAAAAGGACAAATTTGTCCGTAAACAAAAATGTTTATTGCCCTAACATTTAGAGGAATTAATATAGTGAATATTAATTGTGCTTGTCCTGAGCTGAGTACTAGAACTGCTACAGTCTACCTTAAAAATATTACCTTTGGTAAATAAAATGTACTTCAGATGAGTACACAAAAGGCTATTAAAAATAATCAAAGATAAGTAACTAATGAGCTAATTTTTTCTCCAACATGTATGAGACAATGAAAGTGTCTTGGCTACCTATTTTTGTATTAAAATGCTTTTGAGCAGAGGAGGATGCAGATAAGCAGTAGTAATTGGGAACAAGTTCCCTATATTTCTCCCTTCATTTGTACTTCTTTTTGATTGGATTAGGAAGAAAGGAATAAATGAATTCTATTACTGTGGTGACTATGTTCTGGATATCAAGACAGCTTGTCTAAATGTGACTTCATTATGTTGTAACCCATCTTTTAGGATGAAAGGCACATCTTGAAGTACTTTTCTTGCTGTGCCCTTCCTCGACACAAGAGTTTTTTCCATTCCAATTTTTTTTTATTTTCTTTTTTTTTTAAATCATCATACTTCAGAGAAGTATCTAGATTAGCTTGGAATAAAACTGACCTGTTCCTGGAAAGGGAAAAAAAAAAAATCACAACCTTGGTTCTGCTCTTCAAGTTTCAGTGTAAGTACACCTGCCACCTATAACAATATTTGAGATTCTGCAATGTTTAATGATGTTTGCAAAGTTCAGTCCTCTGACTGGACAGGAAGACTCTTATGGCCTGCTCTACAGGATTTGAGATGAACTCTGTGAATCTCTTCTTTTCCTCTCTATGTCAACTAGGATGTGTAACACTCACAGAACATAAGTTCAACTGCAGTTTGAGATATCCCTGCCAATTACTCACTCTCAGGTGCGACAGCCTCATTGAAAATCTTCACTGATTCTACATGACAAGCAGCGGTAAGGAGCCTATTCCTGCACCACTTTCAAAGGAGTTTTTTGTCTGTTTTTTACTAGATTTGGAGTTGGATGTTCTCCTTTCATGGACTCTTCTGAGGTTTTAGGCAGTGTGTAATAGGGAAGCTGATAGCAAGTCAAACTCTGTCAGCTGTTAAGTATATACATTGTACTGTAGAAATAAATAAATACTGGAGCAGTTATACCTAGCTGCTTGCCATACCTCATTATTCATAGCTCATTTAATTCCTAATACAGCAAAAACCAGATTTTAGTTTAGCCAGTTCTGGATGATATTGTCCATTTTACTGCTTTCTCATTGCCATTAGTGGCCTTAAATACTCAGCTTGCAGATGTAAATGTTAATTCTTCTATGTTTTGCTTCAAATCATCCTCTACACCATCTGGAAAGCACCACAGGTTCCTAACACCACTCTGGTATTGCATTAGCAATTGCAAGACTTAAGTTAGAATTTTAACATACCTGGAGCTCAGCATGCTTAGGAAGGAGGCTAAAACACAGAGGGTTCACTAGCGCACATTGCATTATTATTACAATAAATACGAGGAACAAATTGCTCTCTTAGTGGCACAAGTGACAGTGCAATGCCATACACTATAAGGATCAATGAAAGCTCTACTGCGGACAGCAATACATGCCCCCAACAGAGGAAGAATTATTTTGGCAGAAAAAAAAAAATCATCAATCAAAACCTTACTTTGAATGAAATGCACTTTGTTTTTTCAAACTGTTTCCTGTAAATTTTTTGCTCCCAATGAAAACCTGCTTTGATGTACCTGAGTATCAAAATTAGTTGTAGGAGCCAGTAATTTTTCAAGCTAATCAGAACACATGATTTAACCCTCTCATTTTGTTTAAATGCAGAAAGAATATGAAAAGGGATGGGATTAGGAAGGCAATTACACTCCTCTATTAATTGGATTCTTTACTAACAGTGAATATTCAAGTAAAAAATTGTGACCACAGTAATAATTTTAACGAGTTTATTTAAAAGTGATTCATCCATCCTTGATAAATAAACCTGACACAATTAATACAGAAGCCTGGACAAACAAGACTAGCAAAAGAATCAATAACAATTCACAGTACACAGACACTATTTAGAAGGCTCGGTCCAGTAACTTTTCTGCAGCTCAAAGGGGCCCGGCACAGCCCTGCGGGGGGACACGGAGGAGAGGAAGGGTGCCCTCCAAGCAGCACCTCTCTCTCTCTCAGGGCGGAGAGCGCCGAGCTCCGGCGAGGCTCCCTGCGGGCTGGCTCGGTCCCGGCTGCAGCCCTGGGGCGGAGGGCAAGCACCGGGAGCGGCACCGCCGGGCAGGGCCGACCGCCCGTTATCGCGAGACCCCGCGGGCACGGTCGTCATGGCAACGGCGGCGGCCGCGGCGGCGGCTCCGCGGGTCCTGCCGCCCTCCCGCGGCGACAACGGGGCTCCCGTGTCCCGCCCACCTTCCCTCCCCAAAAATCCACGGGTGTTGTGGGCCCTGCCGCTGGCAGAGGCCTCGTGTAGGCCAGAACTCCTCAGGGAATCGGGAGGGTCCCGGCTGGCCGCGGTGGGAAGCGGGGCGGCAGCTTCATCGGCCGCGGAGGCACGTGGTGATTGGTGTGAAGAGGCCTCTGCGGGGGATGAGCCCGGGATGCACGAGGTGAAGTGAATGGGTACAAACTACTCTTTTTCTTTGCCCGCTTTTCATACCTTGTCACCTTACAGACCTGTGTACAGGACTCGGTTTGCTCCGCTTCTTGTGCTGAAATAAAGAGTTATATTCACTTGGGCCTTCAGAGAGTTGCCAGCGCTTGCCACATGCTCAAGATGTTTAATTCCTGGGAATTCACACAGTTTTTGCAGAGAAACATGCATTTCTGTGATTTAAACTTAAAACTGAGCTGAGATGGGGTATGTGATCATTTGGACTTGGGAACTTTTAACATAAATAGCTTTAACCGTTTAACATAAATAGCTTTTGGCTGCTTTAGTAACGTACGTGATGTCTCTAAAATGCTTAATTCTTTTGTTTGTGCTAACTTAGCCAGTCCAATGGTTTTTAAAAAAAGAAAAAAAAAAAAGAACCATAATAATTTCTCCATTGTGCGATTACTTTTACACCATTTGAAGTGTCTTTGATAGTAAACACATTTTATTACTTTGATTGGCTTGATGATATAAATATATATTTGCACCTGTGTTAAAAAGTGTATGCTTGAGTAGGAAGCAGATATAAATTGGAAAGACCTCTCAACATGGAATTTCTAGAAAGGATTTGAAACTTGTTTGATCTACATCTAAAATAGTACAAGACTTGTATTGCTTTACTGTGGAATAGATAGTTTGAAGAGTTGTTTTTGGATTTTTCCCCACTTTTAGGTAATAATGGACATCACAAGTGGGAATGCGGATGACATTTCAAGGCCTGCATCTGGCTCAAAACCCAGTTGTAGATCTTTAAATACATCTATGGAGTTACTAACACCAGAGCCACATATGCAAAAGGTAATTCTAACCTTCAACATATTAGAAACTCTATGCCTAATTCTTCATAAGAATGCTAAAAGGTAATATTCTGCCTTTTTAGCTTTGTATGCAGTTCTGGGCTCTGCAGGTATGCTGAGGGTTTATGTGAACATTCCTGAATGTGGTCTTCTCCTTCTGCAGCGATAGAATAATTTTTAATTTCATTTTTGTGATTCTATGTTACTTATATATTTGCCACGAAAAGGGTAATTTAGCACTGCAACCTGGAAAACTTGGTTTTCTTCATCTTTATATTTTATTGTATTATTACATAAATTTTATTTTAAGGAAAAAACATTTGAAATTCTGTCAGTAATATGTAAATACATGGCTATAGGTAGTTGATGCTTGAGCAGTATGTGAATAATTTCACTTTAATCCCATTTGTGCTTTTAAGTTGGAACAAAACTGATTTTGCTTATTAAAAGAAATCATTTGAGCAATCCTCACAAGTTGAATTTTTGACTACAAAGTTCTCTCAGGATATTTTTGAATTACGTTTAAAAACCAATTCATCGTATTCCAAGAAATGTCAGCTCTAGGAATTTTGCAAAGTTTGTTGGAAGTAGGTGTTCATCCATCCTCTGAGAAAATTAGTATTGGGGATTAACTTAATTTTGGGGATGGGATATGAGATAAATTTGTTGGGAAACTGGGACTTGGGAATTAGAGATGATTTAGATTGATTTACTTATCTTAGCCCAGTTGTGTTGTACCTCTGCTCACCTGTCTGTAGAATGGGATCATACTTAGATGCTTCGCAGTATTAAAATTCTTTTTTGTAGATTTACAGTTGGATATTGAGGTTGACAGCAGATAACTTTGAATCCAAGTTCTGATCTAAACTTACAGGCTATTGAATGGAAATTGTAATCTCTTGAGACTGATGAATTAAGCATGAGCTTTTCAGCCTTTCTTTGTAGTATGAGCAAGAGATTGGGATGCTACATGTTGCAGAGTACTCATGGTGTCTGGAAATGAATGAGGCTGTTGGACACATAGACAACCACACATGAGTCTGTGTGTCCAACATCCTCATCCACTTCCAGACACTGAGTGCTCTGCAACACGTAGCATCTCTGCTGCAGCAGAAATGGTATAAACCTTTGTAATAATTTCCTAGCCTGGCAGTCCGAAATCTGGCAGTCTGTGGAATGGTGAGCTTGAGAATCAAAGTGATGACTAAGGAACTGACCTCTGTATCAGACATGAAAATGGTTCTTTTATTTAAGAAGTACACTTCAGTATTGTGCAGAATTGTTGTCGGCCTTTGTGATAGCATGTGAGTATTGTGATTACCCAAAATCTACTCTCAAAATATTTCTATCTTTATGATTGTAAGAATTTGCATTTCATAGGTTGATTCACTTGTCAGTGTGGCTGATGGTTATCAGAGAGGCAGTCTAGAAGATTGCTGTCCAGCAAAAAACAAAAGAGAGAAATGTGATGTCCAGGAAGTAAGAACAGATCAGCAAACCACAATGGAGAGTATGACCTTCTGTCTTCAGAAATGTATACAGAATCCCAACGAGTTGTCAGGTGTGGAAATGACTAGCACTTTCTTGTGTTCTTTGGCCACCCCTGAAACCCCCTCACTACCAAACCCTGGCCATGCAAACCCAGTGCAGTGTGTTACAGGGAACCGTGCTAGAAAATGTATTCATTAAGGTGCTTTTATCAAATGTTTCACAGAGATCATGATCATTTGTTAGAAACTGTGTATCCTAACAATGGTCCACCTGTCCAAAAAATTGGATTTATGGTTATAAGTTATAGTATTTAACAACTGAACATTGTTAATACTAATAAAATACTTCAGGTATGCAATACATAATTTTAATAAAGCACTCTCAGAAGTGCTTCGGATGGCATTCTTCTCTCATTCTATAAATGGTAATGAATTGACTTTCTGAAGCTTCTGACTATTGAAAAATCGAGATGCAAAGACCAGTATTTGAAGCAGAAGACTGGATACCTTCTTCAAATTTAGTTAAGGATTGAGGCCAAAAGAAATCCCTAGATTCCTGCTCCTGCATTTAACATGAGTCCTGGTGTACTAGAACATAACCTTTTTTTAAAGTGCAGAGGCTCTGTGGGGATCCTTAACTCACAAAAATGGATCTTGGTTATTGTGAAAGGCTTTTCCCTGTGTTTTTCAGGATGTAGCTCTAATTCAGATTGTGGAGACACTGAAACACAGACTCTGACATTCTGTGAACCTTCCCAAGGAAAACCAAGTGATGCAAAATCAGGTACTGCTTTTCAGGTGTACAAAGGGAACAGTGCAATAAAACTTTTTCATTTTTCTTTCCTATTAATGCTCCTAGGAATGTTTGGTATTCTAATCTATTTGTATTTATGTAGTTATAAAAAAATACTACAGATTGAAAACATGTATGCATTGTGCTGTTCAAGAGGTGTTGGATGAATTCTTGGTTTAAAGATTGTTTTATTAATGGATATTCACTTTCTTCAATGTTATGATAGAATTTAGTTTTACATATATTTGGTCTGTCCAGTCAGAATCCAGGGGTGATTCTTTCCAGTGCAGCAAACATGATACTTGTTTCTTCAGAACAGAAATTGGATAGAATTTAACCTCAAAACTTAACTCAATAGTTTAAACCCTGGGTTTAAACTCTCTGCTGGGTTTAGGCCAGTTGAAATAAGAGCTCTTTTTTGACCATCTGTCCTTGAAATTTCCCTGGAGCTCACTTAGATTTTTATAACTTTCCCCTTGTTGTATCGCTCATCCTTTTTATGGCATAAAGTAGACCGATGCATCACAATAAATGCTTGGATCAATGACTATATAAAGCATTTGACCTCAAAAGATTACAAAATGGAAGAGAGTATTGAATGACTCCAAAATTTGGAAGTCTGTGGGGTAAGGGACGGTGCTACAAGTGTCCTACTTGTGATGTGGAAACTAAGTTTGGCCAGGAAAGAGGACAGAGCATGAGGATGCTGTAGGAAGGGGAGGAGCTGAAAGTGGTCAGAAATTGTAGTCTGCATATTTAGGAAGAAAAAAGAGACAGTACAGAAATCTACTTCAATTAAATAATGGTAGATTTCATAATGTTTCACCATTTCTATTTTTCATAGCAACATTTTTCTAGAACCAGTATCAGAATCTGGTTTGTCTGAGATATAAGTCAAGACTGAAACTTCTGTAACATTTAAAGGTAGAGATATTAGAAAGTCTCTCTTAACCCCAGAGTTATTAATTTCAACAAATATTCTACTTGTCAGACTGAAGACATTCTTTTTACTTTTAAGCTTACTTTATGATTTTTCCTGATACTGTGGAGATGTTGTCAGTCTTCCATTATAACTTTGAGTCAAATCCCTTGCCCAAATTGGGTGTCTTTTCCTCTCCCACACCTCCATATCCAACTGCTGCAGCTCAGAGATTGATTTGGCATTCTGTTGCAAAGACTTCTGTATTTTTCCCTGCTACAAATAGGTTTAGAAGTTAACATGATATATGTGCTTGACAGTAGTTGTACTCTTGTCTATGGTTGTTACCAAATTACTTGTTATTCTTTTTAGTGTTTGTTTGGTTTTTTTTTAAGTTGACATGCTTCAAGCTAACATTAATTTTAAATATATTCTACAGCAAACTTGAAGTGTTCTGAAGACACAGATGTAGATCCTCAGATTCAAGCAGCTATAAAGAAAATGAATAAACTTGACACAATACTTGAAAACCAACATCTTAAGGAGAAAGGAATTAAAAAACAAGGCAAAGAAATGAGGGCAGTGCTCTGGGAAGAACTTCAGGTTAGGAGTGTTCTTATTTTGTGAATGGTGAATCTTAGACTAATGTCTTACAGAATTATATTTCACAGAAGCGTTATTTTAATAATTAATTCACAGTTGGCTGATTAAAGTGAAGAAATGGATCTTAAAAAGTAACATTGGATAGGTTTTAATATATATTGGCTAGGCAGACTTTGAAAAAAGGTCATGGTCCTTAAAAATTGATAAGACTGATTGTCAAATATACAGCTGTCTAGGTGTGGTCTACTAGCATAGTATTATGCTTTAGTTCACTACTTGCAGGTATGATAAGTTATGACAAGAGGTAGTGTCTGTGAACCCAGGATGAAAAGCGCTCATTCTGCTCTAGTGTGACCATTCTTAAGCCCATCTATTTCAGTGCTGTTTATTGTTGAAGAAATAGAGATGCCCCCTGAAAAAGGCATAAGAATGTTACAGCACAAATTCCTTCACACATTCCTACCCTTGCCTCTAGCAATTAAATGCCATTTTAAGCATTGAAACAGGTTATTTCCTCTAAGGTTAAGTATTGTATATTTTGCATTAATACAAATGTGTGTTGCTAACAAGACGTGACTGGTTTGACTGCATCTCATAATTTCATTGTATTTGGATTTGGGGCCACATATAGGTTATAGAACTTCTTTGTCTTGTGAAATGTGTCTCCAAATAAGAGACAATATGTAACAGAGGCTTTAAAGTTCCACAATGCTTTATCATAAATTCAGGTGTTCAGATAACCTCAAGAAGAAAATAAAGTGGTAAGTAAATGTTGCCACTGAACAAGGAATTTTTAATAGAGTCTGAAGTTCATTAGATTTGATAAGCAGACATGTTTCACTTTAAAGAATTTACTCTTAGTACATGCATGTATCTATATATTTACATTTTATTCCTTTTGAATAGTCTATCAGAACCATAGGAGGCCATGAGGAGATAGAAAACACAAACAGTTTTTTAGCTTTGTTCTCAACATGGCAGGATACAGCTGGTAAGTAAAAAGAAATAAATACCCTGGTATAATTATCCTATATTTTGATTAATATTCATATTTTTATTGGATGTGATAAAAGTAAATATTTCAAACCTTTACAGTAGAATAGTATTTGCATGAAAAAGTGTATAAATGGAATATTTGAAAAATCAAATGACATAATTTTTACATTAGCACAAATGTAGAAATTGTACTTTACCATTAATTTTGCTTATAGGAACTGCATTTTTTTCAATGAACTGGATATTCTAGAAGGGTAGAAGTCCAGGAAAAGTAAAGACTGCATTTTACAAGTTGTTGGCAAACACATATGATTTTTTGCAGGGGGAGGGAGAACAAAACCAGACTGAATTTGTTAAGAATATACCATGTCAAATCTTCTTGAGAATGATTGTTCAAAAATTGCTGTTTGAATAATCTGTGTGGGTGCTGGAGGTCTCAGAGATGTGTCAATCATATGCACATTTTGCATCCCCATCCTTTGTATACATTTGGTGAAAGGGTTTCTTGGGTGAAAGGAAACAGAATTTTGGGTTATCCTGCCTTTTTCCTTGTTGGCAAGAGAACAAAGGTTTGACGTCTGAATGGTTATAAGTGAGCAGAAATCTTGGCTTTAATGTTGGACGTACACGCATAATAATGGTAGCAATGTGTAGTTAAAACATTAAAACAAAACTTACTATTGCAAGTAATGTGCTTTTATTTCTATGCTAATGTTTGGGTTATTAAGGGAACAAAACTGAATTTGATACAAGTGATATTTAGAAACTCTCCAGTAGATGTCAGGATGTGTTAAAAGAATAGTAGACAAGGAAGACTGCTAACAAATCTCCTTTTTTTCAGCGATGAGTCCTGCATCATATGGTTTCTGGTGTACTTTACTGACAAAACTCTGCATAGTTTAGATTTATATTTTTCCTCCAGCTTGATCTTTATCTTAACTTTCCATAATGTGCTTGTGCCTTAGTTTTAAGGTCTTATTTATTTATTTATGTATTTATTTATTTAAATGAGTGCCCTCATAGCTGCCTTTGTTGATATTGAAATGGGATGCAGTTTACATATTTTGCTTTTCAGAACTTGAATTTGATAGAGCTTTATTAAATAAATTATATATGGGAGTTATTTAATGATAGCTTTTAATATGGCTGTGAAATCAAACACAAGTGTCCCAGCCTGTCAGGCACAACTAAACCCTCTGGCACACTCACAGCAGAATTGTAAATCAGTAGTTAATTAAATGGCCTTAAATTCGTTACCCTTTGGTCTGTGTATCAAAATCATACTTTTGAGTCCATTGCACTTCCTAATACTGAATATTGTTTGTTTTTTTTTCCTTGTGAAAAACACGTAATACATGTGCTTCTTTGCAATATGAGTTCTTTTCTGTAAGTGCTTGGTGTATAGACTGCAAATTACTACTATATTTTTAATTGATACACGTCAATACTGTGACTGATTCCTTTTCTTTGTGTGGCTGAAACAAGTAGGATGCTGTTTTTCTAGACTATACCCTTGACCTAAGCCACTTGGAAGTCTAATAATTCATGCACAGGCAGACACCAGCTGTGAAAACCTGGATACATTATTTTCATTCAAATTTCTAGATGATTTGCCACATGGTGTCTGCAGAGGCATTTGAACTTTAGGGCCTTGGGCTATGTCTTTGAGAATGTGATTAATTGTCCTTTACGGGCAGTAATTGTTAAAAACAAAAACACAACCATATGAAACAGCATACTTATTCATGAGTCACATCTTACACTTTCCCCCTTCTTTATTTCTTGAGAAGTGTGGTGTTTATGTAATTTATCCAAGTGAATTTCTTTAACTTTTGTGTGTGAGATCTTGTAGTATGATACACATGAAGCTAGATCTTCTTTAAATACACTTCAATTAAATTTTACTGAAAAAATTCCTTGCAGATCCCTCCCATACTAAAGAAAATGAAATATGTACTTCAGTAATTCACACACAAATGAATCCAGAAGATTGTGATTGTCATAAAGCCCAAAAAAGCAAGGGTAAGCTTTATTAATTGTATAGTTTGTATTTTTGGATATGACAAAACAACATGTGCAATGGGTGGGTAATGAAGACTTGGTCTTTGTGGATAGGCCAGTGAAATGGGAAAAAGCAAGGTTGCTTACTGGAATGGCGACAGTTCTTACTTTTTTTGCAAATGATAAAAGAGAGTAGTTTTGTGACTTACGTAAAACATTTTACTCAACATGCTAAGAAAATTTTTACTTTGGGGTTTGTAAAACCATTTACCTTTCATTTCAAAATGAAAAGGTGTGTAACTGATATATTCTAAAATGTGTCATTGGTTCTTCATGGAAATTCTTTAAAAAATGGTCTTTGCTGTTACTCTAGAGTATCATAACTTTAATTATTAGGCTCATATTCAAGAAACCACCTAAAAATGATGAGTGGTGCTGTATATAGTTATAACTATTCTGTATCTTTTTTTCAGCAGAATTGTATGGATTTGTGACAAATGTAAATCTTCAGACAACTTATTTTATATTTTCTCATACTGATTATTGTTAAGTCTGCATTACTTTTATGGATGAAGTACTTTCTGGCAAAAATAAACACCTGCTGATTCTTTTCGAGATCACTTGTTAACTTGCACTGTATAGACATTTAAAATGCTGGTAGTAGTGTAGTGTGTCCCACACTTTAAAATAAATGCAATTGGGCCTTTATGCCTCTGTTGTTTTCCTATTTGAAATTCAAATTTGCATGGTTGATAAACTTTTCACATGTGTTGTGACATGAAAAGTAGCTTTGGCTGCCATTGCTATCACCTGCAATTGTTTATTTCTTTGTCATCTACTATTCTATGTAAACAGAAGGAATCTATCTTCCTGGTGACTGTCTAAGATGACAAGGACATAATAAACATGTGTTCCTCAAGGCTGAACCACTGATGGCATCAGAATCTCTGCAGTTTGTAGAATGTGGCTGCATGTTTTAATTTTTGAACATGGACCTTATCACTTAGTCCACTAGTATGCAACCTTAACTTCGTGGGCTGGAGCAGTGCTGTGCTTTTCATTTCTCTCTCTTCCTATCGTGTGTCTTCGTTTTTCTCTCAAAATGAATCTTGACCCTCAGCTTTCACCTTCAAAATTTCTGAGTTGTGCTGGAGTGCCATTGAATAGCAACATAGGTTTAATTGCCAATATTGAGGACAGCAGTGACTTCTGAAGCTTCCAGTACACAGGGATGTTGGGAGTTGCGATCACTTGCTCTATTTTGAGATGTTCTCCATGCTCCTAATTTGGGAACGTGTGAAGTAGAGATCTCTTACAGCTTGTGGGCAATACATTGCTTAAATGACTTACTGTTTCTTCTGGAGGCTCATGATGTGGTGTCTGAATAGCTAAGACTTGCTGTTTTGATTGCTTTTGGATTTCTGTGTCACAGCTCTCATAAAGGCTGACTCTCAACAAGAGGAGCTTAACTTGGAAAGAGGAATGCATGCATTAGTTTTATACTATTGCTTCCTCAGTCTCATTGAGATTTGTACAAATCTTTGAAATTTGTACTAAGTCTAGCAAAACTCATATGCAAAATTTGTTGAGCTGCAATGTCTCTTTTACTTACCCATGTCAATCTTCAGTGTTGTCTTTGTCTCAGTGATCCATGTCTGTCCGTTCTTTACTTGAATGTTCTGAGATGTTCTATATGTAGTTCCCTCTCAAAAACTCTATTCTACAGTAAGAGAAGGATGTAGTTTAAAAGTAATGTATATCTTGTGTGTTGCTGGTGTTTGGTGTGTTCTGCTTATTTCAGGATGTGACATCTCTTGTTTATATAGATTGGTAAGTTCTTATATCATCCAGTTCCTTGACAAATTCAAGGTGTTGCCTGGTAATGTTAAAGTTTGGGATGCTTTCATTAAACAGTTGTGCATTTGAACTGCGATGGGTTTTCTTGGTCAGATCTAAGACTTCAGTCCTTTAAAGTTTTTGTGCAAAAGGACACATAGAATTTATTTCATATCTTTGGGAGTTTGCTTTCAACCTATTCACTGTGAAAAAAAGCTACTTCCATGTCACCTTCCATAGCCTGTCTTCTATTATCTAACTTGTCAAATTTTGAAGGCAAAGAACCCACCCGTTTTTCAAATCTCTACTTTCCAGAAAAGCAAAAAGTACCATAACTACTTTTAAAGTAGTTCTTGAGATTTAGAAGTTGATTATATTTGCTTAGGCTTGTTATTTAATGTGATAAATATTTGCTGTTCATAAAGGAATTGTTATTTTAAGCCTCTTAAAAGTTTCTAAAAAATATAATGCATGCCCACTTTTTTGTGATGAATAGAAACCCATTGTTATTAGAATATCATGTGTCTGTTTAATAGATTTACAGCTCTATGATGAGTTTTATTTTTTAACAAAATTTGTTTTATAAGCTGTTATAATAATATCAACTATATCATCTGTTTTTCAGCTGTTTTATTTAGAAAAATGTACTTGATATGTCTCCAAATAGTTCTGTGGTTTTCAAAAAATTATTGTCTGTTTTTTTCCTGATGAGAAAACTGCCATGATGATAGGGTTTGAAGGAATGCCGTGGCTTTTAAGGCTGCCATGTTTAACATTTTTGAGGTCAGAAATCCAGAAGTATTTTAGCCTTTATAACATTGAATGATCTCATATAATAAAAAGTTAAAAATGAAAATAGATTTTGACAATAGCTACGTTTTAAATATAACCATATTGTTTACATAAATAATGAAAACACCATATAAAAGGTTTGTCTATAGACTTTGTGTGTTTGCTAAAGATTTAAATGGGATTGCTCTTACTGAACCAGAATAGGAATGATTATAACTTAGAAACGTTTCTTCCTCAAACTTCAGATTATCCAAGTGAATTAGAAACAGAATTAGAAAAAACAGTGGAGAAAACACATAGCAAAAATAAAAGCAACCAGGATTTCATTAAAAAGAACATTGAGGTAAGCATTAAAGTGCTAAATCATTAACATTTTGTTAAATGTTAGCTAAAAATTAGTCGTAAGTACTTCTGGAGACAGTGTTTTTAAATCAGGAACATTAAAAGCTAATTAGAAATAAATTAAAAAACCCCAACCTTTTTCTTGGAACTGTTATTTATGGCAGAGTACTATATAAGGTAATTCTCATCTTGGATGCTCATGTTGGGGAGGATGTTACTGCTTCTGTATATTTGCTAAAGAGTACTGGAAACTGGATCGTTCTGTTTGTGCCTGAACACAGCTTGTTTTAAGGACAAATAAGACTTATATTTACTGTTAAGTTAAAGGAAAATGTCCTTATGCATAGATAAGGGATAAATATACAGGGTGCTCATATATAGCCTGCATGGGATCTCTTTTTTCAGAAAATGCGCCCCCCAAGTTTTGTGCTTTTTTTTCCTTTGAAGACATATTACCTATAATGATTCCTCATGCAGTGAAAAATATTTGCCTCCCTGCTATGTCAAAGACTGTTACAAGATTATAAATTTATTATATGCATTTTTCTATATTGCTTTATTTTTCTGTCAGTGGTATGGCAATAAGCAAGTTTTGGATGTTAATTTCAGAGAGTTTAAAAACTTTGTTTTGGTGTTGTTTGAGCTAGTGGAATTCTCAAGTGTGTTTATTTTTTCCTTTTTGTAAATATTTCAGCTAGCAAAGGATTCAGGAAACCAGTTTGTTATGCTTGAGGGAGAAAGGAAAAGGCTAATTGAACTGTTGAAAGATACAGAAGATGACATTGAATTGCAAGGTCTTGAGGTATGAAAACTTTAATCTGTCCTGTTTATTTAGCTTATTTTTACAGTAAGTCCAAAACTGATCTTAGTCTTACCATGGAGTACCCTACTGAGATAGAAGAGAAAAGCTGGGCAAATCCTTTTGGATTTGTCTCCAGATTTCTTTGTTAATTCTGCTAACTGCAGAACTTGAAAGTTCGGCACAGGTGGAAGGAGCCTTAGAGCTACACTTGGAGTAGATGACCTATTTATTCTGCATAAACTGAAGTTACAGAGTATCAGTCTGAATGACTGATGCTGTAGTCTCAAGCAGAAGGGCCAGCAGCTATTTTAAGAACACTCCCAACAAGAGTTTTTTAAGGACATGACCTTAAAAATGCAGCAATTGAGGAAGTATACATTGATGAAGCTTATACGTCCGTTTAGAAAGGTAGCATTTCTATGGCTTCCAACTTACTCTGTCTTAAAAGTATACAGAGTGGACAAAGTCTGCTTAAGTATTAGACATTTATGCTTTAATATAATATTGTTAAAGAATGTAGAGTGTGGGTACTGGAGGAGCAGCTGAAGTAGGTAACAATACCTTTTCTCACAGATAGTAAAAAGGAGTGTTTGATTGTCCCACTGATCACTGCTTCTAGGAGAGTCTGAGCAACAAAATGATTCTAAGTAACGTGAAGGCATCAAATAATCTTTTGATCTCCCAGCTACTTGGAGATGGCTTTTATTTCTTACAGCTTTGAGGGGAATATCACAGTGAAGATGTTCTTAGAGGCTTTTTTGTTTTACAAAAGCTGCTAGGATGGAAAGATTCATTTGAAAAATGAATCATACTAGGAATTTAGAGTACTTTTCAACTATATATGGTATCAAATATGCTAAAGATACAGGGTTTTATAGAATGAGCATCCTCAAACAATACAAACTTGATATAACTTTTCAAGAAACTTGGATTTTAATAAAGAAATGTTGGAAAAATGCTTTGTGTAAAGAAAGGTGGCTTTTCTAATTTGGTTTACGTTAAAAATTACACGAAGTTAAATCTACAGTAATGTTATGAAATTCTTCACTACATTTGAACTTCTGCTACATTTGTAAGTATACACTGAATAACAGTATCTAAAAAGAAAGATGTGAACTCTGCATAGAGTGAACAAAATATATCCAAGGTCCACTTTCTGTATAATTTATACAGCTAAAAATGATCTGGAGTAAATTATTTTTCAGTAGGTTAAGGAACAACTTAGGTGTGAGAGAAACAAAAGCAAATGCAATAGTAGTATTTTTTAATTGTTTCTTCCCATATTTTAGTTCTATTTATTTTCTGATAATGTTGTGAAGACATCCAAGAGGTGATGCTCTTCATTACTCTTTATAAATTACTCTTTCAGGATATGGGGTAAGGAGATGAGCTTATTGTTTTCTCCATCTGAATCTAAACTGGTTGTGGAAACAGAGGACTAGCCTACCCATGGTTTGTGACATTAAACAGATCTGTAATTTATCCAACTTCAGTGTGATTTCTAGGTTGACAGTCATTGGGTCTATTGTTCAGAACTTCTTTTTGCCCTAGGGAAACTAGTAAATACACACTGTGTTTCGGCATTTTCAGAGCTTTGTGGGGCAAATATAAGTGAAGGAATCGGTATCAGTCAGGAAAACCTGATGAACAAACGACTAAGATTATATAAATGTGCAGTATTTTAACAGTAATTGTTCTTTCATGGTAAAATAAAGTAGAAGCACAGATAATGTATCCTTTGCTGATTGTTGATTGTTCATGTGCAAAGATTTAAAACTATCAGCGACACTCAGTGCTTGTGTTCATCAGATGAAAATTTTCAAGTTCTGTAAAACTGCAGCAGTCTTCCTGTTTACCTGACATTTGTTCCCTCACTTTACATAGGATGCTAATATAATTCTTTTGAACATGAACACTGAGCTTGCAGATTGAATTTTTTATTTGTGTAAAATATTCATCAATTAATAATATTACACAGAGGTATTTGACTTAGCTGACATAGTTTAGCATTAAAAAATGCAATAGAAATTCTTTGGTCTAATGTTGATCTGTGGTTAGGGAGTTGATTTTTATTGTACTTTTAGTTTGTTGCATATTAGGAGAACAAAATTAGAGCTCGCTGGATCATTATTTAATCTTTATCTGTGCATTTATGGAAAGATTGAAGGTATTCTATTGGATCTGCTTGCAACAGGCTTGGCATTGCAAACCCATGTAAGGGTGACAAAATGTTCAGCTGAAACTTCATCCTGACTTGGAATAGGAAGAAAATGGAGGGAGAGGATTGTGGGGGGTTTGTTTTTGTTATTCCCCTCATGTTGGAAAGGTCAGTGTTTGATTAATGATGCTGTCTGTTCTATTCTTTCCTGATCAAGGACATGTTTCAGTTTGAGGAGGTGGTTCTCCATTTGATAAACGTCAGCATTTAAAAATCGGAAGATGTTTTAAACAGCCTTCTGTTAGTAAACATACTTTCTGACCTATGGAATAGTGACCTTTTTTGTATAATTTATTTTTCTGATTGCGAAAGTATTCTCTCAAAATGTGTAGTTATTAAGTTTTCTTTTTCTTTAAGCTGGTGTCCTTCACAAAATTCAGAGACGTTTATGCAGAACAGCTAATGCAAATTCTGACTAACAATATGTACCTTTTTTTGCACCAATTCTCAAAGCATCAAGGCAAGGGAAAGTGTAACCTTTACCCACATTTTGTATTTGGCACATGTCACTATCGTGTTGGCATGTATCTAAGAGATTTTACTATTAATATCAGCTATTAACTAAATTGCCTCACAGGACGTGTGTTGTTGCTGTAAATTCTTTGTTCCATGGACAAGAATGGTAATTTTTTGGGTTACTCTAATCTAAACTAGATTATCTCTTCAAAGAAAAATGCTCCTGACTCTACTATCAAAGTGGAATAAAAGAAAGGATAATAGTTACTTAAACCTGTCTAGTCTGGTGGTTCTTCCTCTCCTACGTTTCAATTTTATTATGGATGAGGCATTTCCTGTGGCTGCTTTGTAACAAAGATCATGAGGAAATTATCAGCTAGTGAGTAATCTAGACAGCTTCAAGCTGGCCCAGGTAATTGTCCAGCTGATGGTCTTTTTCATCTTATTTTGTTCTGACTGCTAAAAAGCTGGTGCAATCACACAGGCTAAAGTATTGTTTTGGAGGCTTTCAGTCAAGGCAGATGTGACTCATACTACTAAATATGTCAGATATCCAAACAGTACTTCTCACTTTTTGAAAAGGTGTTTCATGAGTTTTTAAAATATTTTACAAGTACATATTCATGCTAATCTAATTGGCAAAGCTGAAGCTGCAGGGGTATAATTTGTTTCAGATGTTCCACAGTAAGCACTGACTGTGCTGTTACAAAAGTATTGTTCTGAGTTAACACACAGGAAACATTGACAGGACAGAAGCTTATTTTCCAAGCAAAGCCATCTTAAAAATACAAAAGAGAATGTGTGAGTCCATTTCACCCTAGAGTAAAGTGACTACTGGAGTAATTTGGATATTTGGAGCGTGGAATATAGGCACTGAGCTGTAGCTAATGAGTCCAGTTGCATCTTAATAGACTCCTGTAGAGTAATTTCTGTGTTTTTGCGCTGTGATCTTCATTCTCTGATTGAAGATCAGAGGGGTGGTTAATGTGACATGAATGTAGAACCACGTTGGATAGTTATGTTTTGATGGTCACTGTTCCACCTGAACAGATGTTTGCAGAAAGCTGGGAAGCGTCTAAGACATTTCTGAGTAGCTGTTTTGGAATCAGGTTGGGTCTGGTCAGGCTTACTGATTGTGTCTCATCATATTTGCATGAGAAAGTATTAGAACTGATTTTTTTTCACAGAAAGCATGCCTCTCTCTTGACTTTTTTTTTTTTTTCTGATTTATTATGGAGGCAATTTAAGACAGGTGTTTGGAGTATGCCTTTTTCTTTTTGAAACTAGTATGCGTTAGGGTAATGGGAATGAACCACAAATGACCTCATAGCAGTGGTATTGTAATTGGAAGCTGGTATTTCCTCCTGTTGTATGCATGCAACTGCTTGAATGGCCAAAGGACTAATCTGGAAGCTGTAATGGAATAGTGGACATGAAATCCTTGCAAAACAGATGTTAGAGTCTTAGGTGCTTCCCTTATTCTGGGTAGGAAAAAGAAAGGAAATCAGCAATACACTCATATCCTTCCCCACATCCCTGCTCTTTTAAGGTTTTATCTGCTGTTTCACTGTGGTCAGGACAGAGATGTAATCTGCTACTGTCATGCCCGGTGAATGGTGGTTGTGCATACTTCCTTCCCTGAGTGCTGAGGCGGGAGTGCCAAGTTCCTGTGGAGAACCTATATCCATCTGTGAATATGAGCTCATTTGCTTGGGTTAAGTGGGCCAAGGTCACACACATTATGCAACTGTCTGTAATAGGGTTATATATTCATATTTTTTATTCAGGTGTTACTGCTATCAAGAGGAAAACGTCAAGTAAACCACGTTCGGGAACAAGAATTCTCTGCTTTCTGCCTCTCCCAGTCTTTCAGGGCCTCTAGAAGGATGGCAGCTACTCACCTCAGAGCAGTTCCTTTGATTTCCTATGGATGCTATGTTTCCTTCTTTGGTGATATGCTGCAAGTGTCACGTTACATCTCATACCCTCCCTCTGAAATTTGGCTCTGAGTGATTTCTGCCATAGCATCAACCTCTGCAGTTCCATTCCAAGACTAGTTTTGGTCAGGCTTTCTCTCTTTTTGACTCCTTTATCAGATGGAAAGTAGTTTGCTTATTAGACATAGCTGCTGATTTTATTTCCTTCTTTGACTTGCACAGGGGTCTGTTGCTTCCACTTCCTTCAGAGGACAACAGTAGGGTATTATGTTACACTTTATTTGGACTTCTAAGGTGCTGCTGTGCAGGTGTGTTTGAATATGTAGCAGAACAGATGTGTCTCTGCATTTGCCACCAGACTTTGAGATACAAGTTTATTGGGATTTTTCGAGAAGACGTGTTTGGTGTAGATAAGAACATCTCATCGTGCCTGTGGACTTCCATTTGTCTTTTTTAAAAACAAAAAACACCTTCCTGTTTCAGTTATGTGGTTTGCTCTCTGTACTGTTCTTGTACTTAGTTTGTAAAATAATAGGCATGCAAGCAAGGAGTGCTGAAATACTTGACAACAGAAGTGATTTAGGATGATGTTGAGGAAGCTCCTAGTGCAGTGTCTGAAGGCTGTGCTTTTCCACTTCAATATTAGCATTGAAAATGTGAGCTTATAACATGTTCTTTGTGTTTTCTCTTTTAGGACTGGTGGGTCTTACATCTGCTGGACATTTTTCTTTGTCTCTATCCTCTGCAATATCTTGCAAACACTTCTAAATTGATTTTCATGTCAGTGGCATCAGAAAGTGATGCTTACTGTGCAGCACTGAACAGCAAGATGTTTGTGCAAGTTAGACCATAACAAGCAATTATTCCTTCAAAAGGGAGCTGAGTCTGCCATGTTGAACAAATACATGAATATTTGGGAGATTTCAGCTAATACTGAGATGGGTGAAAATGTACATTTTACTCTTAAATATATTCATTTGAAAAATAAACACACTTGATGTGCCACTAACTAACTGCTTTTAAAGTCTTTTTCCTTTGGGTATGAGGTTTAAGTATTTTCTGTACTTTTCAATAGGAGAATGTATCTGTCTGGCTAGCCCCAGGAGAAGGGTACACACCTGAACCGACAGAATTTCATCTCCTAAATGAAATAGACATTAAGCTTCAAGCACTACTATCTGATGGGGATTTTTCTGCAATTTCCAGCCCTTACTCAAAAGCTCCAAGCCAGATTTATCAGGTAGGTTGCTGAGCAGAGCTTATGCTGCAGATTTTAAGTGTGTGTTGAGATCAGTACACCATATGTCTGTCTGTATTTGTATCTTTGGCATTTTTCTTTAGTATCTTCTATTTGTTCTCCCAGTATATGTGTTAAGGAATGAAGTGAAAAATTTTGACTGCGGAAAAGCAGTGGAAATTTGTTGCTATTTTGAGTGGTATATAATTCAAGGACTGTCTTGTTTTTAGCACTTATTGATTCCACACTTCTAAGAAATTTCATGTTCAGGAATTGGTAACAGACATTTTCAGCTGCATGAGGGTCTCAGTGGTTCATCTTTGTTCATCTCAGTTCATCTTTGGGAATAAGAATTAGGTTTCTTCTTATCTCAGGATTCTAAAAGTGCCTCTTCACTTATGGTCATAAAGATAAAGCAATGACTGTAGAAAATAGATTGGAATCGTATGCCCCTTGTTTTTAGTGGCCTTCGTCTTTTTCCCTTGGCAGCAATATTAAGAACCCATGATGATTAAGAATCTAGGTCTTAGCATTGAGAAGCGATTGTTTGAATTTTGTACTTAGAAGACTCCAGTCTATCCCATACCCCAGTAGTGTTGCCTCTACTATAATGGGGCATTGTGACGGTTTGGACCTGGCTTCCTGCCAAATGCCCGAAAGTTATGACAGCAGCCCCCTTCCCCCCTCCTTTCTTCCCTTAGGTTAAAGGAAAAGAAACTATAAAAATTAAAGAACCCAAAGTCAAGTTGCTTATGTAAAAATATATCTATATTTACGTAAATTACAGTTATGTACAGTTAAGATGCTATATACTCAGTAAAAGGGGATCTACCCTCCCGAAGGGATAGGGAAAGGGAAAAAAAGGGGACGAAAGGGAACAAAAGGGACACCGAACAGGTATACTAGATCAAACTCAAGAACTATACTAATAACTAACAAAACAGATCTCACCACGCCCCTTAGAACAGCAGGATCGGCAGTCACAGCCAGCACTCTCCAAACCTCCACGTGGTAGGACGGTGGACTCTGCAGGCCTCAGCCTTAGATAAGCGAGACCAACACAGGGACCCACTGTTCCCAAACCTCGCCGGAAGAGAAGAGAGCGAGGTCTCTAATCTCCGATTTATTTATACTCTGGTTTACGTAAAAATTGTATGGAATACTGAGTACTTGACTACTTCCTTAGTTACAAACTGATCACCAAAAAGGCCTAGACTAAAAACATCACAGGCATAAAATAAAAAACTTAATTCTTATTGTTTATTTCTTTATTATTTACATTCTATGGCCAGAACTGGTATACCAGAGGCAGTTACAAGCGTATGAGAAACATTTATTCAAAAGGCTAAAATACCTGTGGGTTTTTTTCCCCCTTTTTTTCTAAGGTCACTTCAATGTAATTTTTGTATTGACTTCTTTCTGAATGTGAGGTTTTGTTTTACCTCTAGTGGTATTTTCTGTAGGTCAGTTCCAGAGGAGTCACATTTTGATGTTGATCATTTACCAGCTGGGATTTAATGTGTGAAAGAGCACCTCCCTCTAGTTGGTAATGTCTAACACAAATGCAGTTGTTACCCAGTAACTTCAGTAACTTCAGTAACTAACTGAGCATGCCAGTGATTGCCTGAACACAATTGTGTTCAGTGTTACGAGACATCGTCTTGAAGTTAATGCAGCTGCCTGTGATAATGAACTCACTGTTTGGGACTGTTTGTTCAAGTGGTTGTTGTTGCTTCCTTTCAGGTAACAGCTCAGAAGTATTTGAATAGAAACTGGCATTTAGGTGTATGCTGATTGAACAGTATTTTTTTTGGAATAATACTAAACCTAACAACCAAAAAGAGGTAGTTAATTCCGTAAGTTACCTTTCATTTGTGAAAAACAGTTGCCCTTCAACTTTGTTTTGCAGTATATAAAAGGGATTTTCATTTCGAATTTTAGAAGTAATTAAAACAGATTAGCTTAGAGTTGCTATTATAAAGCTGCACGTTCTTTTCTTCCAAGAGTTGCACTAGATGCAGCTTTCAAAATGGAAACAATCACCACTGTCTCAGTGAGAGATCTGCTTTCTGACACTGATGGATACTTTGACAGGATATAGGCATTGTCCTGTGACTCTGAAATATTTAATAAATGGCATTAATTGTTAAAAACCCAATAATTTCTGTTTGCTTTGTTGTCTTAAAAGATAAGGTAATCAGTGTAGTATTACCTTGAGTTCTTTGATACGTGTTTGGGATTTTTTATCCGAAAAATATTCCCTTTTTCAGTTATGAAAATAGGCAATAGTTAACAGTTTAAATAAGTACTCTAAAGTATTACAAACTTTAGAAGATACACTAATTTTTCAGTTACTGAACTCTTTGGTAGCCTATGCCCTTTGCCTGTACTTTACCAAAGCAAATGGATGTATCTGTTTCAGGGCATGGTTAGAAGCAGGTTGATAAACTGATCAGCCAGTTTTATGTCTCAGGAAGATTGTATGACACTAATATATTTCATTAAGAGGGATTTTGTTATTATTTACTTATAGAATTTTGGAGAAAAGGGAATGCAATGAATAATTTTAGACATTTCAAATACTCTTTTGCATTATGTTACAGCTTTGTTGCTAAGCACTTTTGTTATATCTTGTGTAAACATATTTAACAGTTTTATTTTCTACAGATCTAAAAATTGTATGAGGTAATCTCAAATGGACTTTCACTATATACACTTGCTGTATAATTGAAACATAAAGTAATGAAGTATTGAAGTATTTGAAGTATCTGAAAGATTCATAATAAAATGTTTACCTTGATGTAATACTTTCTAAATTTATTTTATGGTATCTTGAGAAAAAACCAAAAATATTACTATGTGAGAAAATCCTTAACTTTACTCATGTTGTGTGAATTCTGATCTGTTACTATTCAGGGATGAGAGAAATGAAACTGTAACAGCTGCCTCTGTGAAAGCTGCAACTTGATGTTCCATAGTGGTCAAATATTCAAATAGGTTGTTAGGAATATTTATGAAAGCAATACAGAATGAAACAGAAAATGTGACTGTCTGTTATGGGAAAATTTTCAGTCGTTGGAGTACTGCCAACTATTGCTGATTGTATATAAGATTTGTACTGTGTTATTTTCAAGCAACTCCTAGTTTGATTTAAATGTCAGAACTCGTAGATTTGCTTGATGTTTAGAAGTTGTTTACAGATATGAGTTTTTTGTATATTGTAGTTGAGAAATTTTGTGTTGAATGTTGAATTGGGAGGGTTGTTTTTCTTTCCAATTAAACGTGCTACTTGGAATTATTTTCCTTGTGTGTGTCTATTAAGCTTCCATGAGCTACTTCTGAAAATAAGAATAGATAGAGTATGTTTTTATTATATGGCTGCTTATTGTTCTTTGGATTGAATTGGCTATCAAGGTGGGCGGAGGGTTTTTTGCTTGGTTTTTTTTCTCCTCTGTTGTTGTTTGGATCCCTTGAATTCTTCTACAGAATCTTCGGTTTGCAAGAGAAAGCTCTGTTTTTTCCAGTCACAACATAACTGCAGTTTTGTCAATACTTGTCGTTCTTAATGAACCAAGTTACATGTAATAGTGAACCTTGAATGTATTTGGGACTTCAGGATCCAATTCAAAACTACAGAAGGATGTGAGAGTGTGTAACCTGAATCTTTAATAATGGTTGGGCAACTAACTACAACTTAGAGAGAGAGGGTTATTTCTCATTTACCATGGTATCTAATAAACAAAAGCTATTGTAATTTCAGCTCAATTCTTCCTTTCCTTTCTGGCTTAATTCTGGTCCCAGTATGGTTAATAACAGCAAGATTTGAACCAGTCATTCTGTTTCCCCTGGTCTCAGTGCATTTTTATTGTTATGGTAGAAATTAAGCATCAAAGTATTAGCTCTGGAGACTACAGAATTCCTCTTAAAATGCAAAGGGGAAGAATTCTTTTACTCTAATACATCTAGCCTGATGTTTAGCTATTGCATTTGAAAATGTGTGTAATGAAAATTAAGCATTTGCAGAATTTGACATTGACAGATTTTGGTGTTTCCTAATAGAAATCAGAACAAAACCCATCTGGCTATGAAACAGTATAAAGTCATATGCTTAACTTCTATCTATTCTTTTGTCAGGAGTCTCTGGTTTATGCCAACAGAAGCCTAGAAACAGTTCCAGGTGAAAAGGTTCTCCGGGACAATAAGGAAAAACGTGATCAACAGAATCGTCTGAAAGAAATAGATCACCAACTGGAATCCCTAGAGAGAAATCTTGTAAGTGTCCTATTTTTGTTGGATTTTTCTTCCCTCAGTCTGAAAACTTTTGAGTTTATCTTTCTACCTGTCCTAAAGTAAAATATTTGCAACCTTATGTAAATTTCTGGAGGAATCCCCAAAGAAATATGCAAGCAAAGTTTCAAATAATTTTTTTTAATCTGGAAAATATATTTTTTAGTTGTAATGTGTGCTTACCATTAACGTAGTGTCTTTCAAAGGGAAAGATCCTATTATCCTCTCTTCCTCCCCAGAGGTGGATAGCATAAACAGTAATATATAAATATATCCTAAAAGAATTTTTTAATGTCTCATATACTTCAGTGTTCTTTGAAGGACCGGGTCTGATGGAAATGTTGTATACATCAAGTTATTGTGGTAATCTTTCTTTATTATCACTATATTGAAGTAAAAATTGTATTTTTTAGTGGTTGTGCATTGTAGAAATTTGTTTCTTGTGTGTAACTGATTTTAGTGTTTTTCATGTAGTCATAAAAACATAAATATGTGAGTTTGTAGTGTCAGATCAAAAATCCATCTATCTTACTTTTGGATTGTGGAGGTCTATTTATTCAGCAGTATGTTTACTCTCTGCAATAATCAGAGTTGGGACAAGTACTGTTCCATTTATCTTTATCACTCTCAGAAAGGGATCCCCAGTGCAGATCAAAAGCTTTGTTATTCAGGTAGCAGCATAACTGCAGTGGTATAATCTCAATTACTGATAGCACTGTTGCTATCATTGCAAAAACTTCAGCCACTCTACATAAGCAACGTTTATTCTGGCAGTGCTGGAGTATATATGAAGTATGGAAACAAAGACTTCAGACAAGGAAACAGTGATTGTTTTAGAGGCTGTTCACTTGTCTGTGTATGACTACAGAGAGGCAGCATATTTAGTTCTTTTCTGTTCACAGACCAAAACAATAGAAGAAATTCGTTTTAATACATGCTCTGTTATACTAAACAGTTAAAAGATGGGAGACAAATAAATAGAGGAATTCTGTGAACTTCAGTATATTGAATAGGTTAATGGGTAAATAGATAAAATAAGTCTGTATATTGTAATATTTTCCTAGCCATTGACCTTTATATCTCTTTTTGTCACTACTGACCTTGTTCATGAGGCAAGCACAATCTGAGGAAGTGCGTCTGGGAATTGTATGATAGTGTACAGCAGCCTGGGAAATGCAGTGGGCTGCTGACTCATTCAAATGTTTTGTATATAAATGGGTCAGTTCCAAGTCTTGATTGGGTTATAGCAGTTCTGTTTGGTATCATATTACAGCAGACTCTTGCAACATACCGCACATTTTTCCTTGACTAGATTGTGTGTATTTAAAACTCTAAATTGATAGACTGTAATGATAGTTTACAGTGTTTATAAGTATAGAATGTCACCTGTACCAATGTGTAACTCATGGCCAGACTAGCGTTGCTGTGTGCTATGCAACACCTGGTAAGGCTTCTTCAGGAGGGCACACTGTGTCTTCTTAGTAGTTGCTCTGTAGTATTACTGAGATCATGGTATATGGATATGAAATATTTATTTTAGGTCATTTGCAAGATACTTTGGTTGTCAGTGCAAATAAAGTGTTCAAGTCTGAAAGAAAGTAGTTTTTTCCTTCTAATGCAGTACAGTAAAACATATAAAAAAATGTACACTTTTTGTGTGGACAAAGAACAGGCTTAAAAGAGACTTTTTTTTTTTTTTAAATGCAGTACACATAATTGAATATTTTTTTTTTTAAATCAGATAAGTTATGCAGTGTTGATGTGGTACCTTGTTTCTATAGCAAAGTTATATTTTGTCAAAACTGCTGTCCGCCGGGAAACTACATGATGAAAAGCGAAACTGAATGCTTGGGTTGATGAAGGGAGTACACAGATGGCATGTCTCCAGAATAATTTAATGATTTCTGGAAATACTGTTTTTTATTCAATAGGTGGCACTCTTCGCTGTATGTCGGAGAAGGAATGCATAGGCATGGTTCTAGGGAATATTTTGACTGATAAAAAAAGTTGTCATTCCTGTATTATAAAATACAGGTTGTGAGAGGTTGCCTCTCACTTTTGGCAAGAGTCCAGCTGTGCAACTTTTAACATTGTTATTCTTCTAGCTTTCTTTAAAATTGTCTATTTAAAATCCACGTTTTTAAAATTTGCACTGCATTTCAATTTCTCCTTTACTCTTTCCTAAGTCACTATAATTTGCTGTGTAAAATTATAAATAAATTCTCTGCTCCAAGTAGAGAAGGTGATTTGTCAGCAGTTTGGAATTCTGTTTCTGAATGCATGGTTATACTGGGCTTGAGTATGTAAAATACAGTATTTTACAAATTTAATGTCTGAGAGAGAACTTATGTTAAGTGTACTTTAAAAAAATCCCTCACACAAAATATTTTTTTGTTTTTGTTTTTGCTTCCTATGTGGAAATTGTGGAGAGTTTAACTAAGCAGAATTTAGCTCTGTGTGTTGGGGAATAACTTACATTATAGGTATAAAGGTAACTTACTTAGCATTTTTTTGTGTGTATGGTGGAATGCTGTGTTTCTTCACTACTGCAAAATGAATTATTCAAATTTATTCATGTAATGGTAGTTTTACTCTGATCTCTTCAAGGCGGAGGAATACATTCATCATATTTTTATTTAGTAGGTGCTTGCTTCTGAAATTATAACATTTATGGATTCTTCCACTGCAGTTTACCTCACGTATGCTGTAAGACTTCTTAGTTTCGCCTAAGTCTGGGGGTGAACTCACAAAACAAAGCTGGAAGATAAAACTTTAACCTACTTTACATGCAATATAAACCCAGAAAATCTGCTAAGTATTCTGCTTGAATTAATGAAACTAAGGGCTTTGGAATCTGAGTTCCTCCTTTATTTTGAAAAAAAATTGTCCCCAGTGAATTAATATACCAAAGAATGTATTGTATGCATTGTTGAAGTGCATTGTGAAATTTCAATCCAACTGAAATATATCTGGTTTCTTGCTGAATTTCTTTTAGGTTTTAGTTTGACCTTAGTTCACTTGTTCTTCATTTGAAATCATGTCTGACTCTCTCTGCATTCTTTCATCTTTCAGTTTCCTGGAAACCATTGAGCTTATCTTTGTTTTGTGAATTGCATTGTTAACTGCTGCTTAAAAAAAAAAAAGTTCAGCTGCCAAATGCGTGTTGCTGAGCATTAATGAAAAGAATTTTATATAGAAAGAATAATAAATGTAGTTATTTTTCAATTGTGGCTTCATCTAGTTGGCCAGTTTTGATAATGCAGTGGCACGTTTGATGATGTGTTGAATGCACTGGCACATTTGATGATGTGTTGAGTTTCCTCATGGCAGACACTAGGTTTAAATGCACCTTCATGCAAACTATTAAATAAGATAGCTTCACCTTTGCTGGCTCTATGTGTGTTTATTTCTAATGTGTTACCCTGCAAGCTAATTATTTCCTGCCAAAAATCTGCCCACAGATGTCTGTTTTGGGGTTTTGGTTAAATATACAAATTAAATTTACATAAATGAAAATATTTCAAAACATATTGAATATGTATAAGCATATACTAAAATAGCAATCAGTTAAAGTCTTAATGGTGCGTCTAATTTATATAGAAAATTATGAAGATAATATTTACGTAGATGAAGATAAATATTACATAGATGCTGGAGCCCATAAAATGAACGGTGTCCGTATGATGCTGATAAGCAACATTGCCAGTTGCATCATAAGTATTAATTATGGGTTGATACTGTATATGAGAGATCATTACTGGAATTTGATACCTGCAATGAGACTTTGAACTTTAACTTTTAACGTAATGAGTTTCTACGTAAGAATGATCAAATTTTTTTGTCCATTCAATGTATTGATCCTCCTTCTCCCAAAATGTAATTTCCAGTTTAGATGTCAAATATGCTGTATTATGGTGTTTACCATCTTAAAATAACAAACAAACCATCTTTGGCTACCCACCCATCTCTAAATTTGTGTAATTTTTCGATCTCCTCACATTTTGTGTCTCCAGCATGATTTAAATTTGACTATAATTGCACTGCTTTCTTAATTTTCTGTATTTATAAATGGCATTCAACCATCAAACAGATCATTATTGGAAATGTACTTTTTCTTAGAAGATGAAAGAGTTCACAAAAACTGATTTGTTTCTGTACTCTTGTGTTACTCCGTCAGTATATCTTTGTCACACCCTCTGTCCTCTCTGACCTCAACAAATATAACAGTATTCTTGTATTTACCCATTACTTTTTGTTACTATGTCATCTGTTTATCTGCCCCTGACCTCTTTCATGTGTCTAAACCGAGTTCCATGTATCCACTTGCAAATCTCCTTTTCATTCCTTCTTAACTCCCCTTTAAAAGGTCATTTTTAGTTCATGGTTGAGATAAATACATGGCTTCAAAGCAGGGCAGTGTCTGTGACTCTATTTTTAAACAATTTCATGTTGCTCTGCTTGCCCCAGAAAGGAAACCTTCTGGTTTAAGACATTCAAGCATGCTGATCAGTGGAGTTTCGGTGTTGGAATTCCAAGTACTTGGCTATCTATGTACATGTAGCTTTTGTATGGATATACATCTCTATACATCTCTTCTAGGTTTGTTTGGAATTTTCATTACTCCTTTCTCTTCTAGTGTTTGTACAATATGTAGCATCACAGTTCAATGCAGTAACTACAGTTTTTAGCTGAAGTGATATTAAAGTAACGCTTAACAATTTTCCTGGTTAGTAAAGGTGTAGACAGCATAAAATATTTGTTATTGAAGTGTGCAAGTCCTTCTGAGGCAGGGAGAAGGTGTTTACTTGTTACACATCTCTATTGGCAAATACAGGAGTTCCTCATTCCTTGCTACCAGTTAGCACTATTCTTTAATCCCTGTAGGAAAGAAGCGTTGTTTTTGTTGGTCTGCTTGCACCCTGTACTCTAAGAGAAATAGTCAGGAAAAAGCCTCTGTTTCTCTGGAAATATTGTTGGGGAAGGCT